ATTTAACACCCCATTTCACAACCGCGTTAACCAATTTAGCCATCGACCCAAGTAAGTCGCACTTTAACACCCCGTTAACCAATTATATGGTCCGCATCCTCCTCAGTGTTCCCCCGAGGGAAGCTGCGGGCAATTTTTTTTCTTTTGAGGCATCTGATTGATTTGTGGTGTTTAACGTCCCAAAACCACCATATGAATATGAGAGACGCCGTAGTGGAGGGCTCCAGAAATTTCGACCACCTGGGGTTCTTTAACGTGCATCCAAATCTGAGTACACGGGCCTACACCGTTTCCGCCTCCATCGGAAATGCAGCTGCCACAGCTGGGCTTTGATCCCGCGTTTTTGGAGGCATCTGTGCTGCTAGCAGTGACACCATTGCAATCTCTTATTCTTCACTTGAATCAAACTCCTAGACGCTGTTGGGAACGCTGTGCGAGAACAGACGAAAACAATGAATGTGGCGCGCTCTGTTCGCTCCGCTCACTCAGCTGGCGGCGATCGGCTGATCGGCGCCGGTCTCCAGAGTTCTCGCTGATCACGAGATCCGGACGTGATTCTCAGGTTTCGCGACTTACGGTCGCTCACATGCAGCCCTGCCAGTGCGAACATCAGTCGCTTTCTGGTCACCAGTGGCGAATGGTCGCGTGACTACCGCTAGTCGCCGGTGTGCACCAGCCTAAAAGGTGTAGAACGCAAAGCGACGGGCAAGTGCCACCACCGTGTCGTTGTCGCAAATCGTTGAAAACACTTACCTTTTTGAGCATCGCGTCGCACTGTCAGCGCACCTAGATAAACGCTACAGTCCTTAGGGTTACTTGTGTGTGCCTCTTCTAGTATAACTGCACATACAGAACATCTACATGCTATTATGGCCCCTTAGATATACGCGATAATTGCTTTTTATTGACAATTGCACAACTATTAACGCTGAATCTTGAGTAATATTGGTGGGCGCTGCGTATAGGGTTGGCCGTTTGGTGCGATTTGTGGTATCGTTAAGGGTGGACAAACAGACAAATGTACAGACAGACAGGCACACCAATTTTTTTGTCGAAGGTCCCCAAGAAAGACTATCGTCTTTAAAAGCGAGAATTGGCATGAAGATTGTCAATAATGCGAAAGAACTGAGACGCCGAAGTAGTCGCCTAGTTTGATCATCTTTGGTGAAGGCTAAACGGTTTAGCAAAGTGAGGTGAAGTGTACGCGACTGTCGACAACGGTCCTCCCCCACGTTTGCGAAAAGGTGACCGCTGTTCTGGGAGACCCACAACGAGGAAGCTGAAGCGTCCGGGTGCCTCTTTGTGGGTGTTTGTGGGCCGCGGAACAAAGGTCACTGCCCCTGAGTACTTTGGAGAGGTTGGCTTTTTAAAGACGATAATCTTTCTTGCGGACCTTCAACGCAAAACTTTTGGTGTCTGTCTGTCTGTCTGTCTGTCTGTCTGTCTGTCTGTCTGTCTGTCTGTCTGAACATTTGTCTGTTTATCTATCTTTAACGGCTCCGGGTATTCTAAACAGCACCACCCCATGCCACAAACGGCTCACCTCATCCGCAGCGCTTACCAATGTCGCACAAGATTCAGCGATCATACTTGTGCGATTGTCAATTAAAAAGCAATTACTGTGCATATCTGAGGCACCTTAACAACACGCATATGTTCTGTATGTGCGTCTTTTACTAGAAAAGGCATACATAAGCATTTCTAATGATCGTACCATTTAACACGCTGCGCTGACCAAGCAACGCTTTCACGAAACGGGGAGTGTTTCCAGCGCTTTGCTATGACGACACGGGGGTGGCATTTTTTGAAAGTTTTATTTTCCTCCTCATCACAACTACAGACATTGAGATATTTGCTAAACTGCGCTTTAGCTTACATTTAGCAAAACCTAGCACCCGAGTAGAGGGTTTTGCGCTGATTTAAACAGAGATGTAGGCTGAAGGTAAAAGCCTCTGTTTAAATCTTCTGTTTTACAGTATAATATAGGTTCTCGTTTCTCTGTTTTTTTTTATGTTTTACGTGCAAGTTGATTACAGCAGAAGTGGAAGCTTACTGAAGGTCCCGTATAATTTCCTGTGATTTACAGTATACTTGTCTGTACGGACATCAGTGTAGAGTAGGTTATTGCTTCTCTGTTTTATGCGCAAGTTGAGTTAACAGAGAAGGCTGACTAAAAGCCTTGGTATAAACCTTCTGTTTTTGCAATATACTTGCTGGTATGCGCATTAATGTAGAGTAGGTTTTTTATTTATATGTTTTCTTTGTGTTATACGCGTCAGTTTGAGTCTGTGTTTTACTTATGCAGTGACAGGTGTGATTCTTTAACTACCCCCTTTCGTTTTTGTGTCGCTCATAGAGCCTGCGTGCCTTAAAGGCTGCGAATCTTTCTGGGAAATGATGCAAAATGTTAGGCTGTTAATTTACTTCGCACGTATTCGGTCTTAGTTTCTTGGCTTAATTAGCTGATCCGTGATTTTTACGAGTGAGTGCACCAATTGTAAAGTTTGAGAGACTTCATCAGAAAATGTGACTTGGCATTTCACGAGGTCAGCTGAGTGCTCACTGTTGTGCCTCGGGTGTTGCGTGGCTCGTTTCTGGCGTTTGCTAGCCATCAGGTCCAGAGATTGCTGCAGCCTACGTCAACGTCTACAAGAAAGCTTATCTACGGCCTCTGCGGAGTGCTGTGGTGCTGCAACCCCTTCGAGACCTTCTGTGCTGGTGGACGGGCTGTTATGATTGGCCTCCCTGACATGGCACCACTTGGACGTGAGACGGTTACAGAACCGCGCTCCCAGAGGTGAACCACAAGCGACTTGAACGACACGCAAGCCGTACTTGGAATTTCGCGGTGCAACCGTCTCCTCTCGTAGAACCATTGGAACTTACCCGACCGACTGGTGACCTATGAAAGGCTGTTTATAGTCAAGAGCTTAAAAACGGTGGTTATATCTGTACGTCTCTGTTCGTCAGAGTGCCGCGGACAATAATCCAAGCGACTGAGAACCGTCGGCGGATGCATTTCCCACGTTCTCCGTGGTGCCTAATATCACTGTTTCCACAAGTCGTGCTCTGCCTGGCGCCACATACTCATCACTGCAACGGTCTACACAGTTCATTTTCACGTGTGACTCAAACGTCTTCGTGCTGTGCTGTGTCGTGCGCGGTGTGCAGTGTTTTCTGCTTCGCCATGGGCTGAACTGGGCGTGCCTCTTCCCCCTTGCATGGGTTCGGAAGGAGGCGGCGTTTCACCTTCCCCTTTCAGGGGCGGAGGTGAATATGGCAAAATTTATTGGAATGTCCTAGCCTCCATTGTTTTTTTTTCCTGCAGGGAATCGTGGAAAGGCCAGGACATAAAATGCGATTGCCGAGACGCTCCCGACAAGCTAGCTCCGAAAACCTCACAGAATCTCGAGGGCTTCCATGATGCTAACGCCATCGTGTAAGCAACACGCTACCTGTAAATATAGAAAATAAAAGTTACTGTTACGAGCGAGCTCCTGGCTCCTCTCCTCGAAATCTCCCCGAGACTCTGGCTGGCTCCGGTCCTCAGGGCAGACCCCCGAATACATCGCCACTAACTCCCTTGCGCCAGTTAAGCTTCACTAATTAGCTTCAGCAAATTAATCGAGGTGTTAGTTATTTTGCTCTGTCTACATAACTCCCGCACACTCATTTCTCTTCTCTTGCTCCGGAGTACAGTTCCTATCTTCACCGTTATCAGCTCTGTTTCACGCTATCGCTAACATATTCACGTGGAATGAAATATGATAATTTGCATACCCGCTGTACTGTCGTGAGGCGAAAGGTGTTTCCTTGCTTGTTCAAGCTTTCGGCAGCTTCTTTTACCGAATCCTCTTTTCAGCAGTATAAATTCACAAGTAAATTTATACACTTTGCTATTTCATAGAATGGCAGAAGCAATGAAACATATTCCGAGTAATGCTCAAAATGAAATATTCAGCAAATTCATTAGCTGTGTGACAACGAATGACTGCGAATTTTTTCTTACTGTCCGCATCGAACTTCATGGCGACCGAACTCCACGTGTTCCACCGTTTCACACTCTGTCCGTCTTTTAAATACAGCCTCATTGAACTCGCCTGCTCGCGTGCAGATGCGCGACGTTACACTCGAGCTAATACGGTAGCCACGCTTTACTACATTATCATCAATGTGTGACGGGTGCCGCCTGTGAGATACAAGTACGACAATGGCACGCAAAGAGTACGACAGTGAACGTTTTTCGGTAGTTGCACATGCTCAGAACGCAAGCGGCGCCGTCTGTTACGAACCACAGCCTCTACAACCCGCGAGACAGAAGACTAGTTGCATAGGGTTTGCACGGCATCTACACTCTCGTATTTATTTCCGCGTCGAGCTGTTGCTTCACATGCTGAAACAACCCCTGCACGAGGACGGCATCCGGACGGCACCACCATGAACCACCTGAATCGAATGCTCCACTGTTGACTTGAGGTGCAGTTTATATCGCCAAACCAGCTGATGAATCAATGACCGTTTGGAACATGTCCTTCCGGTAGGAAACAGAACAGGGTCATTCTGGCTTTTATTAAAATCAGTTTACCTCATACAATCACATTGTCAAAAACATTGCCGGTGAATGTCTACGTATCCCGTTTTTTTATTTATCAAAACACATGTCATAACTCATAAGCAGACATTTTAAGCTTCTCGATCACTGTTCAAGCGCAATAGAATAGCAACACAGTATAAAGCTGGTATGAACGATTATCTATATTTTTTATGCAACCTGTTCGTATGGGGAGATTCGTGGAGCAAGGTATAATGCTCATGGTGGTCAACCGTTAAACGTTGGTCAGCTTTTCAACTTATTCAGCCAGACCAAGTATATGCAAATCCAGTGCGGCTTGGTTGGTTTACAACGCGCAAATGTTTTTTTTTTAACAATACAATTTTGTCTCTTAGATACTATTGTCCTACACCACTTCACGAACCAGGGTTGTGATATTGTGCTTTACCTTTGCGTCAATGCCACCGACAGCACGGCGGATCATCAATGGGGTATCGTACTGTCCGTTCGGGTCAAGCAAGTCTGTACGCGCTGAGATGGCGAGCACTGGATTTTCTGGCGGGGTGCAATTGCAGCGCGACAGCGGGTCGTTCTTGTAATCGTTGTACCTGCGGAAACATCACACCACGTACCACCTTCCATATAGACGCTCATTAGTGCTATCAATCAATAGGCTGTTCATCAAGACACCATGAATGGCCTTGCTATCATCACCACTACGGCTTCGTTTACAACACTAACAGCTTGGGCGAGCTGTTAACCCCTGACATTTAGAGTGTTTAGCGCAACCTAAGCATAGTACACGGAAACAAAGGCAGGGTTAAAGGGGAGAACCACATATACTCGTCCTCCACTCCATGACAACCATTATTAAACGCGAAGCATTTCTTAGCGAACTTCGGCTACTTTGCGCATATCTATCTATCTATCTATCTATCTATCTATCTATCTATCTATCTATCTATCTATCTATCTATCTGTCTGTCTGTCTGTCTGTCTGTCTGTCTGTCTGTCTGTCTGTCTGTCTGTCTGTCTGTCTGTCTGCCAGCCTGCCTGCCTGCCTGCCTGCCTGCCTGCCTGCCTGTCTGTCTGTCTGTCTGTCTGTCTGTCTGTCTGTCTGTCTGTCTAGCCGCCAACTACATTTAGCACTTACGACCGTTTCAAAAATGGTATCGATAGCGAAACTAATATGGAACAACATGACTGTAGCGCGAGCACATGTGACTAGTCATAACATGAAAATCGTGAGATGTATGTCACGAATTTTATGATTTACAGATCATCGCCTTGCTGCTTTTGCGGTAGTCACGTTCACAAGAGTTATTTCAAAACTGCTATGGTATGACATAACTGCCTAGCGAACATAGGTGACAGACCCTAACGTAGGAATCGTTACATGCATGTCATGTTAGTCATGAGTCGTGACTACACGCATCGCTAATTGTGCGCTCACGGTCGTTTCGCTAGCTTTGAAATTACCGAATTTGGTATTACGTCACGTGAATGGATGGCAAAGGTATATGACTGGTGCAAACATCATAATCATCAGGTGCATGTCATGTATGAACATGGCTACGTGCCACGCTCACGATGCGCTCGCGGCCGTTTCGCTAGCTTCACATATACTAAATTTCATATTACGTGACGCGAACGGATGACGAAGGTGACGGACACGTCCAAACATTATAATCATAACAAGCATGTCATGCGAAGTATAACTAAATGCTACGCTTATAGTGCGCTAGCATCGTTTTCACATATATCAAATTTAGAGTTACGTGACATCAATGGATGACGAAAGTATATGACTGGCGCCAAAGTGATAAATATGACATGCGTGTAATGTAAAACATCCTACATGCTACGCTCATAGCGTGCTCGTGGCTATTTCAATATCTCCACATATACCAAATTTGATATCAGGTTACGTAAATGGACGACGAAGGTAAATGACATGTACAAGCATAGTAATCATGATGTGCGTGCTATGTAAAACATGAATACATGCAGCCCTCATATCGCGCTCGCGGCCGTTTTGCTGGCTCCACATATAACGTAGCGGCCTCTCGTGAGTTTACTTCTTCCTCCATGACATATAACAAATTTGGTATCACGTGACGTGAATAGACGACGAAGGTAAATGACACGTCCAAACATGATAATCATGACGTGTAATATAAAACATGACTACATGCTACACTGATAGCGTGCTCGTGGCCACTCCCCTAGCTGCAAATATACTAAATTTGCTAAGAAGTAGCCTGAATAGACGACCAAAGTAAATTACACGTTAAAATATGATAATTATGACATGGAAGTCATGTGCGGCATTTACGTCCCATTTCATAATGTACTGCTGATTTTTAAAAAGAGATATAAACCTTTCTTATACGTGCTTCGCACGTCATCTATTCCAACTGTAGGTGGGATCTGCCACTTTTTTTCACGTTACAATGAGTTTCTCCTAACACACTGAACGTCTTCACTTCTCCAGTCACATAAGTATTTTCACAAAATCGACTATGTGTGCGCGAGCTATTACAGACAGTAAACCTCGCATTACCTTTAGAGTGATTTCAACATGGGCAGCTTTTATGGATACCATTGGTTTAGTTCGCATGAACGGCATCATGTGGCCTATCAACCTCAAGGAATTCAAAGGTCCCGCACTGACGCAGCACTAAGTAAAAGAGCATAAAAAGAAATGGTGCACTCATCCTAAGACTGTCGCTCCACCTCAGTGCACGGAAAAGAGAGTGCGTGTGTCAGCGTCATTTCGACGGCAACTAGTGGCAATTATTTGACCGTTTTTCCAGACATACCGTGCCAGACAGCTCGCAGCATTCCGCGCGAAATGTCTGGCCGTCACAGACAAACTCGTGGTGTATCAAGACTACTGTCATTTTTTTAATTATTTCTTTGTTTGCTTGTTTTTAATTTCGGCGCTGCTTGATCGCTGGGAATTCGCAGAAGCGTGCTCTTTTCAGAGCTTTTTATTGAACTACCTTGAAGAATTATGTTTGGGTACGATTCGGATATTTTGTATATAATAACGCCTTGCCGCGGTGGTCTATTGGCTAAACTATACTCGGCTGGTGACGCGAAGGTCAGGGTCAGCAGCCGACCCGTATGTCACAAAAACTGTTAGTCTTCCTGGGCGGACTCCATGCCAAGAAGTCGTTGGAGTTGCTCTCTCCAGTTTAACCTTCACCTAGTTGGAGAACGATGGGCTGAATATAATTATTTTCAGACGTGTGAAGTCTGAACTTTGCTCTATGGTCCATTACGTGCCTGAGATTGTTCTTACAGTGTTCAGCTGTAACGTTGCTGATCTTGTCTTTTAACGTGTTTTCCACCGTGTATAGCTTAAAGTCTCTGCAGACCCGTAAATCACGGAGGTGAGAGGGGGAGAGGGGTTGGAGGGTCCTGACCCCACCCCATGTGTTTAAGCTGGGAGAGAGGGGCGCACTGCCTACAAGTGACCCCGCTTTCCAAAGAGCAGTGAAACGATGCAGCTGCTTTATGACTTAAAATGCACTGTAGACCAAAAATCGGTGCTTCCAGCGCAAAAAATGATCCGAGACTGAATGGCAGACAGGGTGTTTCAACTGGCTATATTTACGAGGTTAAAGCAATATATACGTGTCTTCTACGAAATAAAAAATGAAATAATTCAACAAACACAGCATGCGAAATAAATGTAGAATAACAAAGAAGCCCTAGAAATGTTCAAGCATTACAAAAGTGCATGAGTGCAGTTTTTCCTGTGAACATCACAGTTTAGCCAAACATGAATTTGCGAAAACTTGGCTGCACTGAATTTCTGCTTTTCGTAAAAGCTTTTGATTTGCGTAATGGCTAATGTTTTCACGTAAACGTTCTTTTGGAGCTATGGATTGTCGAAAATACGCGACCTATAGGTCAGGGTGCTAGCTGATTACAATTATTCGTTTGTGTTAAGAAGCGTTGAATACTGAGGCAATTCAGATTAACGAATATTATTGTTCCTGGCTAGTCGTAAGCCCACGATAGTTTACTCGCATAGTGAGAACGAGTATTGCTCAGTAATCTAGAACAGGAATATTTCTTCCGCCACTGAATAACGATTTTTCGGTCGCTATCTACGACGCCGACACCAGAATACTGCGAAACGAACTGTTTAACGCTATCTTGTTCAAGCATGAAAGCCATGGCGCAGTGCGAAATACCTTCAAATGTCAAGGGAAGGCATTTGAATGCGGAAAAATCACGGATTTAAGTGGTGCGCCTACATGAATAGATTACAGCGTTACGATGTATCCGCCTCACGCAGTGTCAGGAATAGAGCAGCATAACTTTTTACAGGTGCTTCGTCTTGAGTTAACGAAAACCGATTCGTCACAAACTACTTTACTGCAGTGTACCTGATATGCTATAAATATTTTTATCACGAAGTATACGCACGTTTCTTCAGATATTTCGCGACTAAAACACGTGCAAGGGTTGCGATTATGCAGACACCTCACCACAAAGAAGAGGTGCGAAGGCGGATGAATATAGCCATTAATGTAAGGTGCTACATAAAGCATATATTGAAATATATAAAGTAACCGCGAAAATGCACAATGCCTCCCTGTCTCCGCGTTTTAGAATGGTGCGTATTTCACAAACAATAGGAAGTCAGCGCGACTTAGGCAATGGCATTAGAACACGTAAGATACATGAGCCCTGCGCGATCTTCTCTCTCTCTCTCTCTCTCTCTCTCTCTCTCTCTCTATATATATATATATATATATATATATATATATATATATATATTCCTGCTCACAGCTGGTAATTTTTTCATCCATTTTTCTTTCTTCTTTCTTCTTATTTACATTCCATTGGTTCTAATAACTTCGCCTGTACATTCCTTGGCATTACTGTCTGTTATATCTCATTATATTGTGTTAAAACACGGAAATACGAGCCCTTAGGTATACACTTCTCTCCCTTATATATATATATATTGTAAAGAAGAGGAAGTACTCCGGCGCAGAGGCAGCAGCATCGAGTGTGCAGCAGCGGCTCGAGCTCAGAAATTGCGGCTGGTGCATCGCCTTCCAAGCCTTCCAAGCATCAACCTTCCTGCTTAATAAATCTCCTTTATAATTGGTGGAGCCGTGCCGGGTACCGTCCCTTACACCTTCCCGCTACCATCCTGGAACTCCGTTCTCGACGGCTACCTTCTGCTATGCCGGACGCCGATCAACAGACGCTTCCATCTCTTCCGGCCACCTGTCCAGGAAGTGTTCCTCAGCGGGAGCCTCCAATCTTCAGTGGAACAGATGACAACGACGTTGAAGAGTGGCTCTCGACTTTCGAACGGGTGAGCGCTTTAAACAGATGGACGGACGCGGACAAGTTGACACGCGTTTCGTTCTATCTCGAGGGTGTAGCCAGCCTTTGGCTTAGAAACCACCAGGCAGACGTCCGAACGTGGCCGCAATTTAAAACGTCGATTGTAGCAGTCTTCGATCGACCTGCCGTCCGAAAACTTCGTGCCGAGCAACGTTTACACACACGCGCACAAGAAACGGGTGAAACCTTCACAAGTTACATAGAGGACGTCGTCGATTTGTGCAGACGC